AGAAAGAAAGAAAAGAAAAAAAAGAAATGGTGTTTCAGACTTTTTCAAAATAAAACAACACTTGAGAGACAGTCTTATGAATTGCTTCAGGTAAATAAATAGAATGAAACATTTATACTGTTTTGGTGTAATTTTTAGTATGTAGCCTCACTCTATATTTGTCTTTAAATTTGCCTATGAAGTAAAACTAGCAAAAAAGCACAATGAAACGATAAGCAGAACAGTTAAGTGCCCAATAATTGTTAACTCTGTGCTAGGGCCAGGGTTTTAACAGATTTTTTACATAAATTGTCTCATTTACTCCTCATAACAACTTTATGTAGTCAGTATCTAGACCTCTATTTAAAGATGAGGAGACAAAAATTTAGAGGGATTGAGTTTTTTACATGGGGTCAGCACCCAGTATGTGGTACAGCCAGGGCTTTGGACTCAGAAGCCTGGCTGCTGCAAAGTGACATTAGAAGGAGCAGACTCACATCCTCTAAGGATGGTTGCTAGGTTCAAAAAAAAAAAAAACAAAAAAAAAAACAAACTGCGATAGGACTTTCCTAGAGAATTTGTTACTCAGGTGTTAGAGGGCTGAATGATCCAAAAGAGCGACCAGACATGATGAGTACAGGAAGCAGTTGCCACCAATTGGGGCATAAAGGGAAGAGGGTGGGTCTGTGGTGCCGAAGAAACCGACAGCCCCAGAGAGGGGGCTGCCCACAGGAAGGTAACACAGGGAAAGAAGCCTGTCCCTTCTCTTCCTCCAGCCCCATGGTTTTCCGTTAGCACCTCCTACTGAGAGACCCAGGAGAAATGTGATACACAGTCTCCCAGACCCAATCAAAGAAGGAAGAGTTTGGGGCTGAGAGAAAAAAGGTAAATGAAGGCACACTGCCACCCAATAAATTTTTAAATGTTGGGCCTCATATTTTTGAAATGATAATTTAGAAAATGCTACTTGATTCAACTTTTTAATGAAAGTTGTGCTTTCCAGGTTTTAATAAGCAATGAAGATATTTGTATGCTATAAATGCTCTATTGAACAAAAATTTCAGTTATTTGTTTATACGTGAAAAAACTTTAGAAAGGGATTATTTATAATCTAATGTACTACAAATTACCTGCTGTTCCATGACCACTCGTGCAATGGCAGCTTGAACTACATTGGTGCGATCCAGGCAGTCCATGCAATTAACACGAAAAATCCCTTCTTGTTTACATATTACTCCAGCTTGATCAACCCTTTTCCAAAATAATATGTGATTATTTTACAATATGAAATAGTTTTAAGTTTCCAAAAACCAGAATCTTAACAATAATAACAGCAGTGCTGGCTATCAATTTGCTTGTAATATCATTACATGGCAGGCATTATTGAGTCCTTCGTAGATGCTGTTGTTGATTTACATAATAGTTTGACAAGGAAGATATTTTTTGTCATCATTTTGGGAAAAAAAAAACAAAACAAACCAAGGTGCAGAAAGAGCGACTTGCCCAAGTCACAGGACTGACTACTGGGCAAGCTGCCATCACCCCAAGTTGTGCTTTTCCACACATTTAAAACACGAACCTGTCCCTCCTTTTTGACTCGAAGAAGCAGTGCATGTAAACTGGCTTGAACAAACCCACTTCTCCACGCCCTGAAGGGGCAGGCAGCACTCCTTGCTCATCTCATTTCTCTGGCCACCTGTGGCCCTGAAGTCTGATCAAATGTTCTCTCCTGTCCTTTAAACCAATTTCTTCTTCCTATGTCTCCCACCTATACTCTGAGAATCATTTTCTTTCTCTAATGATCTTGAAATGCTTGAACACTAAGACCAAGTGTCTAAAGCGCACCTTCCCATATTAGGGGCAGTGAGAAAGAGGAGACAGAGGAAATGCAGACCACTAGACAGAAGTAAAGAATAGTCACGGAGCACTTCACTCCATTTTGCCTGAACATCCGGTGCCTTTTCCCTGTTCAAAGCTAGCACTGCCTAGTGACCAACACTCTCTCTTAAAAATAATACGAACTGGGAAGCAAAACATGAAAAATAAAAATGCTTTCTCAGCTTGCTGCAAAATTATTTTCATGTTTAGCGGTTCTAGACAAATACATATGATTTCACAAATCATGAGTCTGTCAAACTGACCTGTTATGAAATACCTACCAACACCACTTCATGTCAAGAATAATGTCATAAATGGCATCAGTTAGTGTTTGAACATTCTCAAACTTCATTCCTCGGCTAAAAAAATGCCAAAAGAAAGAAAAAAATCTTTAATAGTATTTTTTTTAATTTACATGGTATTTAAGGAAGCTTGGAAAAATTAAATTATTACTCTAAGTACATGAGGCTAATACTACTATAAAATACAATTATATGTTTATAACTCATCTGCATTAGTAGCAAAAAGTGAAATAAGATATACTTAACAATACACTGAAATACATCACAGGTTATCAGAAGCTGCTTTCCCCAACAAATTTTCAATATCGAAGTAAATGAACCCACATGAGAGCCAGGATTATGACAAAAGAACCTTGCTTTCAGAATACACACAAGCTAAAGTTACCATCAAAAAGACTCACCAACTATTGTTTTTCCAGAGCCAACTCTAGCAAAGTTTATTCATGGAGAAAGAACTATTATTAATAGACTAAGAAGACAAGCCAACGGATGATTCTTAAGGGGACTCTATCACTTCTGCCAGCCTCAGACTCAAGCAGAAAGGAAAGGTCCAGAAGCTCTTTAACTGAATGGTTAAGGGAAAATGGAACTCTAAGTCTCCAAGTCATTTTTGAACAGAAAGACTGTCAATATTTCAGGGACAATTCATTTATATTTTTAGCCAAAATAAAGCCCAAATGAAAATTAAAAGTAAAAAATGACACTCCCTCCCTTTCTAAAACTGACGAGCAAAAGAGATGTTTCTTCCCAATAAGGAGAAGAGAACTAAGGCCCCTGTGGCTGCAAAGGCCATTAACACTGGAGCTGATCGAAGCTCACCTCAGGAAGCCCCTTACCAGTGCTCATGGAAGTCAAATGAGACATAGGTGAGGTGTGAATGGTTAAAGAGCAACACCTGCTTCAGGAATGCATCACCGATAATCTTCTCTCTTCCTGCCTGGTCTACCAAGTTAATAATAACCTGGAAGAGGAAAGGGGGAAAAAAAACTCCATTTAATCAGATGCTAGACTCATGATTTTTAATGGTGTTATTTGGAATTATGTCTTAGAAATATTTTATATCCATGCTTAGAAATTAATCCACTCAAGCATCAATCTTCTCTCTATAAAACTAAATTTTCATTTGTTAAATTTAGGTTTATGAGAACCATTTATATCAATGGCATTGGCAACTTTTTAATACATTATATATTTGTAACAACCAATCAGAATACATAATGAAAACAAGGTCCTTTATAATAGCTAATATTTAAAATATCTAGAATAATTTTTAAGAAATATACAAGACTTGCATACTGGATACTGTAAAACTTGGCTGAAATGCATAAAAGAAAACCCGAATAAATGGAGAGACATACCACAGTGCTAAACGGCAAGAATCAATATTTCAAAGATGTCAAATCTCCACAGATTAAACTATATAGTCAACTTCCCTATTGGGAAGAAATCCTAATCAAAATTCAATCAGGATCTTTCTATGGACTTGGCAATTGTAAAATTTTTCTGGAAGGATACATATATGGGCAAATTTTTGAAATTGAACAATAATAAAGGAGGACTTGCCCCACTGGAGAGCAAAACATATTCCAAATCTGTAACAATTAAAACTGTGATACTCGTACTCGTGTAGCAAAAAGTGAAAGACTCAGCAGGACAGGACTGACAGCCTAGAAATAGACCTATGTACACTGAAGAATCTAAGGTATGACAACTTATTCTGGGAGAAATACAGACTAGTCTATAAATGGTACTGTGATATGTCTATAGAGTGGGGAAAAAGCTTACTTTAGCTCTTCACATCTACATGCATTAATGACCTAAATATTTTTTCATCAAGTTATAAAAAAGCTACAACATTTCAAATGATGTTTCCACAACTGTAGGATGGGACATGACTTTCTAATAAGCACAACACAAAAACAAGAGGACCTAAAAGATGGACAGGCGTGACAATCAAAAAATTTAAAACCTCCACACCAAATGATCATGTAAACAGTCAAAGACAACAAAAAACAAAGGCCTACCTAGGGCAATATACTTGCAACATAAAAACCAAAAATGCATAGAGTGCTAATAAATTCAGTAAGAAAAAAGGGTAAAGGATACAGAGGAAAGTCACAAGAGAAAATATGAAATGAAAATTTTAAAACAGAAAACTAGTTTTTACCTATGCACAGGCAAAAACTGACTACTAAATATAGGCAGCATTGGAGAATATATGGAGAAATGGTCACTGACTCCCACTGCTGCTGAGAGTGGAAACTGGTACGATCTTTTTGGGAGCAACAGAGTGGTCGGCATCAACTTTCAATGATACACCATTTGATTGAGCCATTTCACTTCTAGAAATTTATTCTAGAAACTACATAAGTGACCCAAAGGATGTTTTCTGGAGAATGTTTATTATAGCAAAAACTAAACCTTAAAGGCCCATCAGTGGTAAAATGATTAGATATTTATTTAATGAGATACTAAGTGGAAACAGCTGAACTGTACATATGGTACAGCCCTTTTTTGACTTAAATTTCGAATGTGTATATCAGCATGTCTCAGGATGGCTTTCACTGCAAACGACAAATCACTGACTCAGAACAAGAAGTCTGGGGGTCCAGAACTGCTTACTTCAGTGGTTACTCATACCAGTTCTTTACACCTTTTTGGTCTGCCATCCTCAGCACATTGGTGTAACACACAGGCTAGTTCTTTCATGACCTTGAAACAGCTATAGCACCGCATCAAATCCAGACACAACCACTACAGACGGTTCCTGCTGGTTCCTGTATCTCTTTTTATTAGAGCAGGAAATCTTTCCCAGAAGCCTCCCAGAGGACTGCCCTCCCATCATACGTCATTGGCCAAACTGCCCATAAACATACACAAGCAAATATCTAAACCAACCACTGGCTAAAGCAACAGCAGGGCCACCGCAACAGTCAGACTGCCAGTGGGCCTGCCTCCCAGACAGCAATCACCTGGGGAAGAATGGACAGACGGACATTAAGAGTACAGCTAGCAACAAGGATGTGTCTGCTCAGTACACATACCTATTGAAAGGATGTGCACAAACAGGTCTTAAAAGTCAATATGGCGAAGAGATGAGGGTGGCAAGGAGGTTATTTCTGCTTCTTCCTTTACACAACTCAGTCTTATTTCAACTTTTACAGTGACCAGGTGTTTAAATTGTGATTTATTCTCTGTAATGATACTTGTAATAATCAGTGGCTCTTATCTGACAGCAATGACCAGTCTGAATGTGTAAGACATGGAATATAGCCAATCTGGAATTGATTTTTGTATATGGTATGTAGGATAGGTATTAAAAAGCAAAACTCCAGGGTTAACAGAATAAGCATATTTTATTTTGACAAGTAATACCACTCAAAATGGCTATCCCAACTTAGACTCCCTCTAGCCATGTATAAGAACTCTCAATTCCCCAATACCTGCCTTTATTTCTTATTACCAAGCCTTATGATTTTTAGGTGGTTTGCCTTTTAATTTCCTGCTTGGAATTTAAAATGGCACAAAATTTATATATTGATTTTGGAAGAACTAAAATCTATTCAATATTGAGTCTTCCCTGCCAGGAACATGATATTTTCCCTCCATTCATTTAGGTTTCCTTTTTTGTTCTTCAGGAATTCTTCTCCCCACCCCACCCCACACACATGCTATCTTTTTTGTATGTTTATTAGAATTTAGGTTATTTCTTCCTATTCTACTTTATTTTGCTGTTAGAAAAATGTATTCCATGGCATTACATGTTTAGACCAGTCATTGCTAATGAACAAGAGTCACTGATTACTCTATATTAATCTTCTATCTGAAATCTGGTCATCTTATTGCACTTGTTCTTAATTGCCCAACAGTTCTTAATTGATTTTGGTTTACATGATCATATTCCTACAAATATATACATGTATGAATATATAAGAAAGATGGGCAAATAAAAAAGATATTGAAAGATACATATCAAATTGTTATCTCAGGAGGGGGAACTGTAGATGGTTTGTGATGCCTTTTATTTCTTACTCCCATTCTTCTTAGACTGTAATAACTAATTGACAATAGACTAATCTCTTATCTAAAAACAGTCTAAAGGAGCTGACTCAGTAATGATAATTAAAGAATGTCAAGAATACTATTGGCTTATATGTGCTCTCTCACTTCATGACAATTGCCATTTTGCTTAATCATTAACAGTACATAGTCCTTTCATTAAATTTAAAGAAAGAGATATACAACCAGTTCTAAATATGAAGGAACATTCCATTATTACAGATCAAAGCCCACCTGTTTTTTGTAAATTTTCAGTTGTTCTTCGAAATGGGCACAGAAATAGGCAACAGTGTCCTTTTCACCTACAAAGAAGTGACACAAAATCTATTTTTCCTTCCCATGTTTATGACAGAAATTAGGGTCTATTCCTTCTTTATTCTTACTTTTAAATAACTTATTGGCAGCCCAAATGTAACAAAGCTTGTCTAAAACCAGTACTTTAAAATGAAATTCTAAGCCAGAGATCTTTTCCCCCCAATTAGCCTAAAGTGAAACCCACCGCAAGTTCAAACTGTGAAATTAACATTTGTCATTTATAATCCAGCCTACTTGTCAGAAAGGTGTCATGTGGTTTATAATAAAAGAATAAAAACCCCTCTGAAACAAGGATACTACAAACTGAAGTTTAACAGAATTCTCACAAATATAAGTTTTGAGAAAGAAATATTCTGGAAACAACTTTTAAAATCTACCTCATTTAGTATTTTAATTAGATTGACATGGCTTAGCTACACCAGTGCTAAAGTGATAATACTAGAAGAAATTAAGTTTCAATATTTAATACAGCAAACCTTTCACAGCAAGACATTTGAGTAAAGCCATCTTATCTATTTCTTGTAGATACTATCTTGTTAAGATATTTTCTCTTTTTACAAATATTGGCTACATTTACCCTTTTCCAAAATTAAGCATTTAATGTAAAGTATTCTTTAAAGAAACCACAATTTAAAATCTATGAGATAATGTTTTATTCAATTGTCAGGGAAGTTTTTATTGTTAAAAATACTTAAATTTTTGACAACCATAATTACTCTTTTGTGATTATTATATCACTATTAAATCCTGTATGAGTTGTTATTTTAAATAAAGTATTTGGCAAAGCAAATCCATATCTATAAAGTATCCAATATTTTAAAAAATATTCTCTCTGAAATCATTTGTAAGCCAAGTAATTGACATGCTTACTTTTGTCCAGCCGAGGTCTTGGATTATATCGATACCCAACCTGGCTCCAAAAGACAGGCACAGAGCCTCGTGTTTGAATAAATGACAAGGTATGATTATGAACATGAATTAACTGCTCAGTCTCCACATAATTTGCAACATTTCCGTTTTTATCTACTCCTCTTCGTTTATAACGCATTCCTAAAAGGAAATTAAAAAAGAAAACAACAATTTTTGTTTTAAGTACTTAGTCTGACTAGATACGCTTCTTAACCAATTCTATGTCTCTCAGGATTATCTTAGGAATCCAGTGTGCAGTAACAGTATCACCTTACCCAGAACCCTAACTGTATGCATCAGTGCTTTTTAAAAGGTGAAGCTAAGGTAATTCCTGTGATCTGAAAAAGTGGAGTTTTCCCAAAGGTGCAAACACTCAGGAAGGATTTATTACTGTAATACAGGCCGTCGTAAGAACAACGGTACTTAGAAGCACACCCCAAGTGTCTTTCTTCTCTTCTCCATATACAGACTTCCTTTTCTTTCTCCTTCTGCTCACTCTCTCTCATTCACGTCTCTCCAAAAATTGGTCCCCAATCACCACAACACTATTTAGAGTCATCGGGTACTTTGAAGCCAACCGTGTTTCTGAATCCATTATTGTTGTTAGCATTTCAACACATCTGTGGATGTCCCCGACTCTTGCCTGGAGTTGATTTTCACACTATTATATCCCTCTACTCACCTGCTCTGTGCCTACTTCGGCGTGAAATGAGAGCCACTAGAAATCGTGGATGAATGTCATCTACACAGGTGGACTCCTGAGGGGGAGTCTCTGGGCTGCTTTTCTCATCGTCAGATGATTCATTATAATTAACCACAAGTTCTTCAATCTGCACAAAACCTTGGATAATGGGGGTAATCCAAAAGTCCACATCTGGTGTCTGAAAACAATATAAACACCATGTTGATCCTATTCTGTACAGCACCAGTGCTTTCTTAAGCCCAAACGGTAGCTAGTATCCATTTGTCAGTTTATTAGAGCAGAAACTTCCCATTCTTTAACCATGTGCTCTGATTACTGGGGAACATTAAGGAGTGAGTGAAGGGAGGGAGGGAAAGCGTGGGTGGAGGGGAGAATCCTTTCTTTCATGGTGACCATTCAAAAAGAGCTGTCTGAGAGGGACCACAGCATAGAAGCCACACTGCCTGGGTACAAATTCAAGCTCCACAGCTTATGCAATCCAGTGAATCACCTAACCTCACCATGCCTGACATTCTGCTTTGAGAAATAGGAAAAACTATGGCCTCATAAGGTTGTGATGATTGAGTAAAATGTAAAAAGTGTTTAGCCTAGTGCCTGCCTTCTAGTAAGTACTTAATATAGCTATTATTATTATTGCTGTTGGTATAGAAAAAAATTAATCTACAGGTTGATTTTCAATTCCCAATTGTATTAAGGTTTTAATGAAATACAACCAACTTTATCGCTTTATTACGAAACATAGAATTCTACTCATTTTCTAAGTTTGGAAGAAAACTTGCTTCAGCAAGCTTAAATCCAGTAGTAAGTGAGCCAAAAAAAAAATCCTTGCCCTAAACATCTTATTTTAAAAACTCATCCAACATAATCAGGAGAGTATTAAAGTTAGAGATTCAATCTGCTATGTCTTTCAGACTAAGACAGTATACCGATTCCTCAACTGACTGCATGAAGCCAGGCGCTGGAGAGAGAGCTGTTCCTGATCCCTGTCTCTCCCGTCTCCACAACAGCATCTATCGAGACTGCCTATCAGCGTCAATTTCAAATCTACCTCCTCTTCCAGAGCCCTATACTCCAGGTCCTACCTCACAGTTCTGTTTTGTTTGATGGAGGCTGCAGATAAGAGCTTAGGAAGGTGGTTAGAGTTGAAAATAGTGAAGTGAAGGGTCTATTTGCATTCATTATTCTTATCCGCATTCTTATTGGTATTTTTGTGCTGGCAATGAATGCAAAACTCTTGACAGGAACAGAGAAAAATGTGCTGCCAAATGCTACCTTTATTGCAAGTCGTCAGTTTTAAATGGCAATGCCAAGTGGCTGACAAAAATTCGGCAAAACATATTAGAACTTAGTATGTCAACAAACAGGACAAATACGCACTGTACACACCTTTATTTTTCTCCCCTATCACTGAGCTTTGGTGATGACGGTTTGATCAGCATCATAAAGAGAAGTGAGAACATTTTCATGCCTCACTCTCAGCAGAGGCATGACAGACACCCAGATACCATCAGAGACAGTCAAAATCATTTATACTACCAAGGGGGAGAAACAGCAAGAAGAAAAAAAGGTTTGCAACTTCTGAAAGGTTAAGAAAAATATGTCACCCTATTCAGCTACTTGTCCACTTTGTGTCTAAAACAATAACTGGCTCATAGCAGGCCTTCCACAAATATTTGTTGACTGACTAATGAACTGTCCTGGGACAATCATAAGCTATGACATTAAGTGACCGAGTAAAGGACAAAGTAATCATTAAAGCAGAGCAAACCTCATAAAACAATCTCATCATAATCCCTGTCTTTCCTGATTCAAATACTGGCAGTACTGGATGTACTCAGAGATCTGTCTACTCCAATTCCCAGATGAGGAAACAGGTAAGCTAATGACTGGTATCATTAAAGGAAAACTAGGTTTCAACATTTCCAGTGGATACAAACAAAACTCTGTGGACATTAATTCCACAGCCTTAGATTTCTAGTACCATATGGAAACCTGCTAAAAAGACAGGCCTGTGGCTGGACAGGGGAACAGTGAACTGCCTTAAAAATAATGCCTTGGTTTTCCCAGCAAAGTGATTCCCATTCTAAAAGGGAAAATATTATATTTCAATTTATTTTAATACAAGATAAAAACATTTCTTGACAACTGTGACTGCCTCAGGATATTTTAGGAACCACTACTCACACCAATCTCAGTAAGATCTTGCATCATATATTTATTCCAAAAAAATCGGTCATCAACCTGAAAAAGTAGAGAATAAACAGTTCAGAAACATGCTGAGTTTTCCTATGGAAGCCAAACAGGCCCATAAACTGTTCTAGAGGGCAGACCCTGCTCTGAGCTGGGAGGGGTACCTTCTGCCAGAGGGGCCGGGGGGCCTCTTCCCCCGAGTGCTGCCTCTGCACCGAATTGGTCAGATCATATGTCAGGCTGTAGTAAAAGGATTCTGAGTCCATGAACATCTTCAGCAACTCCTCAAGTAATCTTCTCTCCAATTTCTCCTTTTCCTTATTTTCCTTGACCTATAAGAAATGAATCAACCATTACTGCAGAAACTAAATGTAAAGCATCATGTGAATAATACACAACTTCCTAGGAGAGAAGTGAAAATAATTCCAAGGATATGCAGACAGTGCTTTAACATGACAAGTGGTTTGAAAATAAGTTTACAGGCAGGAAAATTACCCCTCAATTTAAAACTAATCAAAGATGAATTCCAAGCCCATATCAATTAAACTCTTACCTTTTTTTTATTAGGAGCAGACACATTGGATTTAATATGCGTAAAGGTCTTCAGTAGAAACTTTGAGTCTTCAGGAGATGGTATAATCTTCTCTGGTTTGTTAATTCCAAAATGATGCTTCTTACAGAGCTACAAAATTAGGAAGAGAAAAAGAATTTGTTATCATTAAATGCTTGTTACAAATGTTCAACTATGAGAGCAGAAGTGAATGCTACTGCTTATGTATTGTGGTTAAAAAACAAAACAAAACCCTTAAGGTTAGTAAAAGGACCAAGTACACACACTGTGGTTTTAAGGATTAAAAGAGAGGATGAGCAAAGACTATAGGACAGTGTATACTTAGAATTTACAGGTAGAAAATTCAGGGTAGGATCATAATCATGCTAAGTTCTTATCTAATATAACTAAAAATAAAATGGTCTGGTTTATTAATCCTCTGAAATTTGGCATCTAAGATTTAAAATACTGCAAAATACACACCTACTATGCTTCAGGGGCACTACTTTACAGTTCTCTGTGCTAAATATTCATGCTAGTTGATGGAGTGTTTGGTTAAGATGTCAAGTTCTACTGGGAATCTCAAAAGTTGGACATTTCAACCTCTCTCCTCCTATCCTCACACACGCTAATGAAATCAGCATAAAAACATACTTTGGGTCCAGAGATTTGTTAAATTTGAAGAAGCAGTAAGTAGGGGCTGCAGGAAATGTACAGTCCAACTGACAAAGGTGAGGAAGAGGAAGGGAACACGTTAAGACAAGAGAAAGGCACAGAGATCCTAAGACTACCTGGTTAAAGTCAAGGATTTTACATAGAATTTCATGTATCAACACACTAAGCAATTATTTTGAAAAGTACACAAGGATTCTATTAACCAAATGCAGACTAATTCCATTTTTCAACACACTAATTTTATTGCTATACTAAGTGGTAGACTCCTGTTAAGAGGTAACAGTTATTCTATGATTATTATTAGTGTCTTACTAACAAAATAACTATTATCAGATCAAAAGGCTTAATGAGAACAAAACCTAGTTCAAGTTTTGATTATAAATTGTACTCAAATTTGGAAGTGAGGACAATTTTATTTGTCAATGATACCTCAATAAAGCTGGGGAAAAACTGGAAATGGAAACTAAAGATAAAACCAAGTATTCAGATGTAATGGAATCAGAGATTTTTATGACTTTTCAAAATTATGGCTATCAGAAATTCAATTCCCATAACTTTCATGTATATATTACAACTTTACACTATGCCTATCCTACCAGTGAACGCAGGGGAACTAAAGATGAAGTTTTTAGTTGCCCTGCTAAAACTGAGCTAACTTAATTTTCCTTCAAATAAGCAAAACCAGCTCCATGGTGAGTTGCTGGGGAAGGAGAGAAGAATTAAGCCATGGGCTGCACCAGCAATTCTTCCTCTTTCCTCTTTCTGCCAGCCCGTTCCCATCAGCATAGAAACATACTGACTTTTCTCTCTAAAACTTTGCTTGAGGCCGCCTCTTCCATCAGCTAGTGTCCTAGTCATATTCTTCACTGCCTCCCACCCGTCCCCTCCCATTCTCTCTCCCCAGCCCATTCCCATTTGGTGTTGTCTCCATGCCACTCCACCTGCACTGCTATCTTCAGTGTGACCTGTGACCTCTGCTGTGCTAAACTCAATGGTGGATACTTGGTCCTCATCTCAACTTCTCAGTAGCATCTGATTCTGTCCATCACTCCCTCCTTCTCCCAGCTACTTGTATTCACTTGCTCCACTGCTCACTCCTTCTTTATCTCTTTTACTGGTTCTTTTCTGACCATTTGACTCCTGGGTGTCTTGGCACCCCAAGGCTCAGTCTCTGACCCCTTTATCTACATTCACTCCCTCAGTGATTTTCCAGCATCACATGGCTTCAAATACCATCTATATGCCAACCCTTCCCTCCCAAAATCTTTCTGGCCCAGTACTCTCCGCAAATTCTAGACTCACGAATCCCAACACTGCCACTTGGATTTCCACCAGGCACCTCAAACTCAACATGTCCCAAACTAGACCTCATCTCCCTTCCACTGCGGTTCTCTCCTACTCTTTCCTCCCTTTGCTTACCCTACTCTGCCCACACTTGCTTTCTTGCTGCTTGTCCCCATGTCACAAATGCTTTCACATCAGGGCCTCTGTTCTAGTGCTTCTCTCTACCCAGACACCCTCTCCCCAGATACCTTACCACAGTCTCCAGCCCTGGGCATTCCCCCAAGCTTTACTGTGCTCACCTTTATTTCCAGAGTATTTATTGCCTTGGAACATAATGCATACCACAGTTCGTATGTTGGTGGTTACTGGCTGTTCCCCCTACTATGATTACGCTCCATAATGGCAGAGATCTCTGTTGTACTGACTCACATCTCCGGTACCTTAGCAATACCTGGCACACGTAGGCTCAATAAGTATTTGTTAAGTGAGTGAATGGGTTCTTATGCTACAGATATAAGTGGTAACCTCCAGATTCACACAGGGACATATTAGTCCTGGAAGAACCATCACTCCCCTTCTTGCATGAACGTTTGTTACTCAGCCCCACCTCTATTGGTGCAGAATCACTGGCAATTATAAAAGGATGCCCTCCTGTGAGCAATAGTTGGGTAGCAATTTTTATACAGAATATCTAGACGTATTACTAACTTTCTTATTTTTTTCTTTATTTTTTTTATTAAGGTATTATTGTTATACACTCTTATGAAGGTTTCATATGAAAAAACAATGTTACTACATTCACCCATATTATCAAGTCCCCACCCATACCCCATTGCAGTTACTAACACTTTCTTTAAAAAATGAAAATATGCCCCAAACCCAGTTCTAGATTGTTGCAATTTTAATATTCAAAACAGGATATTATGCATCTGTTAGACACAGTTATTCCTTAAGAGCATTCAAGCCAGCAAAACTCCCCACCCCTCCCCCGCGCCCTCCAGGAATACATACGACAGTCCTAAAGACCTAAGCATCTGGAAGTAATCTCACAGCAGCACTCTAGTCCGCATTCCTCATCTCAGAAGCCTGGGAGTCATTTTTCTCTACACAGCTGGTTTCCCACTGGGTCTCCTCTAGGACCAGGCCCTTGAACCATCATGCACCCCTTCTCCTCTGTTTCAACCTCTCCCTCTCTCTCTCTAGAAACCCCTTTTCTACCACCTTTAATACCGTTCAACATTAACAGAATCTTTTTTCTTTTTTAATCCATTCCTTAACCCTGGAATCTCCTCCGTGAGTTAACAGGTACAGTGCAGTCCCTGGAACTGGGAGGGCTGTAGTCTGCTGGAGTAGCGCGGAGCAAAGGCTCAAGGAAACTGGTTGGGGCGAGGAAACACTCGACCTCAGAGCTCACTCAGCTCTGAAGAGGATAAACCTTATCTCTACGAATGGTCTCTTCCTGCTGCCCCTCCCTCTGATCTCCATGACACCAATCTCTCTGCGTTCCTCCCCGGCCTCTTTGTCAGTCTTCTTCCGTTGGTATTTCTTTCTGTCTCTAGTGATGACAGTTCCCAACAGCTTTCTTCCTGTCCTTCATACTGTCTAGAAAATTTCATCCTCTTCCCTCATTTTAACTACCACTCTGTTAGCTCCACATTGCTAACTCCAGTCTTTTGCTCTGAGCTCATAGCCCAAGAATATAACATTTCCCCAATACTGATACACTAGTCCTGCAAACTCAGCATCTCCAAAACTGATAAACATCTGCTTCCAAGATCTTGTTCCTTCTCTGATATCACCAAGTTTAGGCAATGACTGCACAACCACTGGATTACTTACACAAGAACGTCAGAGTCATCTTCCACAATTCTCCTTCTTAGTATCTCCCGTGCCAACCCCAACTACTCCTTGCTGACTGCTATTATGTTCATTCAGATCCTTTTCTTTTGCCCAGACCACAGATTTTCAAGGGAAGTGCTAACGGCTTAAGAGAATTCTTTACACATAATTGTCCACTTAGAGCAGGCAACCCAATGGCCTCCTTTTATGAGCTAGGGTATCCCACCCAGCAACATGCTTCTAGTCCTGCGCATGACTCCAGGCCCACATGCAGCCCCTTTAGTTCCCTTCACAGCATAGAGGCCAAATCTTCTCCCATTACTTGCTTCTGGAACCAGAACCTAGGAGGCCTATGGCCGCAGTTCGATCTACCATTTACGGTCCATGAAAATGTTTCTCCTCTCTAAGGCCTGGCAATGTCTTATTTTTTTCTTTTCTTATAAATCTATCCTCTTCCTGGGCAAGGACTTGAGCTGATATGCGTTCAATATATCAAGTTCCTCATCAACAATTCCAAAATCCAAAAAAACTCAAACCTGAAAGTTTATTTTTAAGTTTGTACAAATTGTAATGATTTTACAGCATCTTACTATGTTGATGGACAGTGACTGTGAACGGGGATGTGGGGGGGACTTGGTGAAGGGAAGAGCCTAGTAAACATAATGTCCTTCATGTAATTGTAGATTAATGATACCAAAATAAAATTTTTTTAAAAAAGTTTGTACAAATTCATTTAATAGCAAAATATGCCCTAACTGCTATTGATAGTCATCATTTACCTCCCTTAGTATGCATATTCATATGATTCTTTAAAAATATGAATGTGTTAAAACAGCAGCACTCACAGACTCCAAGAAGGAACTACTGGTTACCAAAGGGGAGGAGTTCAGGAACGGTGGGTGGGGAGGGAGAAGGGGATTAAAGGGCACTAAAACAATTAGACCCCCCAAAAAAGGTTTCAGATAAGGACTGTGATCTTATCACAGTTCTCAAAGCATGACCTCATCTTATCCAGAAGTCTCTATCTCTGAACAGATTTTTCTAAATAGTAATTGAAAATTAAATATGGAAACATTTTCAAAGAATATTTTTGAATTGCCCATATAGTTAACTTTAAAAAAGAAAGTATACACCACTATTTTTTAAAACATTAAATTCATTCCTACCATAAAACAGAGATAGAGAAAATTACTTCCTAAAATCCCTTACAGTCCTAACATGCTTTGTTTAGATAGAGCTCTTGGGATTACAACATAAGACATTGACAGAGGAATCACCTTCCCTTTTCCAGAAGCCCAGACAGTTGTATGCAGTTTGTGCACAGGCCCTTCTCACAACCTTAATACACAAAAAGAACACCATCACCACAAGCCCCAGGGTGCCCCACTAATTCTTCTATTATTCTAGCAACTTACATTTCACAACCAAGATTAGGGATGATGTTGGTGCTTAAGAAAAGGAGAGTAAATGTTTTTACTTTAAAAGTTGGCATCTATCTATCTTCATCTGGAGCTACAATTTTAAACAGATATCTAATGAGAAACTAACTCTGGAAAATGGTTATCTAGTAAGGCAACAAGATATAGCAAATAAAATATGCAGGCATGAAACAGAAGCCTATAAAACTTTAAGGGCTGTTTTTTTCAAAACAAAGAACATCTATATTCTCATTTATTTGAATCCCACACATTTTTTTGTACCCTTGTATATAGATCTTTTTTTTTTAATGGCACACTGCTTTAGAAAACAGTCCAGCTATTTCTCGAAAGATTAAATGCAGTTACCATGTGACCCAGCAATTTGATTCCTAGGTATACATCCAAGAGAAAACAAATGTCCACCAAAAACCTGTAGACAAATGTTCATAGCAGTATTATTCCTAAAGCCAAAAAATGAAAACAACCCAAATGTCCATCAGCTAATTGATGGGTAAATAAAATGTGGTGTATCCACTCAATGGGACAAAAGGAATTAGGTACTGACACATGCTTCAGCACGCGTGAACTCTGAAACATTGTGCTAAGTAAAAAGAAGCCAGTCATAAAAGGTCACACACTATATGGCTCCATTTATAAGAAATGTTCAGAATAGGCAAATTTATAAAGCGGTTGCTGAGGGAGCTGGCGTTTGGGAGAGAATGAAGACACAGGCTTCTTTGCACAGTAATGAAAATGTTCTAAGATTGACTGTGGTTGTGTCCACAAAACTGTAACATACTAAAAACTACTGAATTATATTCTGTAAATGGGTGGACTGTATAGTATGTGAATTATTAAAAAAAAGGCAAACAAATAAGCCATATATCTGAAGTAAAGAACTAGGGATTCTATTAATTCCAGGCTCTGAAACAAAACTGCTTCTGCTCCAATTACAGAAGACAGACTAGACACACCCTAGCAAACCCGAGACCTGTGACCACACGGAAGAGCTCAAAGGGCCTGCTGGGAAGGATGAAAGCAGCGGGTATTCAAAACAATACACAGATGTCCAAATCAAAGACAAAGTAAGAAGCCAAAAGAATTGGTTTTGCTTCAAAAAGTCTTTTTATGTGCCTAAGATTAATGTGCACTTTTGAAAATAAGAGTTAACTAGGAAGAAAATATGTGAAAATGGAAAGAATAAAAACTATCCTGAAAATCTGGAAGTAGTATTGCTTCTCCAAAGAGTGTGGAGCAAACAGAAACCACTATGGAAACTCACCAGAATATTGACAATGATTCTAAGTGGTGAGCTTTTTCCTTCTCATTTACAATTTACTGTATAATAAAAAATAAAAGTATTAAGTTTCTAAAAGCTCCTTTTAAGTAGAATGAAATGGAAATTGAAATAAGAATATCAAAGATTTAACTTAACATGTCAGAAAATAATCAAGCAATTCATGATTTTCAGCATAGCTATTGTCACTGTTGTAAAGTTCCTTCACCATAAAATAAGATTAAAAGGAGGGGGAAAGGCTTCAGTGCAATTTCTAAAATGATATTCTCTTGAGAAAAAGGTGTGCCGAACTATTCACTAGAACAGGATCTGGAAATACTTCTCTGTAATCACATTACCCCTAATTAACAAGGGTCAGTATGTATTTTCAACTCTGAACAGGAACCATGCTTTTAATGCCCTTGATAAATATTACAGCTTTTATGATCCAATAGTACTGTAAAAATATTCAACTATCTCATGGAGGGTGGCAGGGAAAATCTCATTTTCATTTTTATTTAAACATAATCTTTCACTTGAGAGTATCAAGAGAGAGAAAAGAAGTTCAAAGAATAAAAAAATTCTTTGAGCTTTCATAATAAACTTTTGTGTTTAGAAATTCCATGTAAATGTTATTTCCTAACGTTCCCCTGCCCCACCCCAGGTATATAATAATCAGCTCTAGTCTCAAAAATGTTAGATTGGTGGCCACAAAGGGCATCAGAAAACCTCCCTGAAAAATCCCAACCTTCTCTGGATGAGGAGTGACAGTTCATTTCCCCAGGGTTGGGAATGCCAAATGTGTAAACTGATGACTGACAGGTGGAAAAGGTGCTGGACAAGCTGGTGTCCTGCTTTAAATCTAACTGCCAGGACATTCAAGCTTACTGCTTTAACCAGAAGACCAGCCCAAGGGGTGCTCCCCATCAAGGCAAAGGTCAGTGTCAGAAAGATCTTCTGATTTGTCAGTAAACCCATCCAAAAGGCATGGATGACAAATTTACTGACTTAGTCAACTAATACAACTTTTGCTAGGCTGACTGTTCTTGCCTAAAATGAAATGCAAACAAAAACTGCAAACATCCACTTTTAATAGTAAATTGCTACCTGAGTCATCTGTATCTCTGGCCCAGCAATAGTGAATAGTGTTCTAGTTCTACTATCAATAAAAGGGAGTAAGAAATACTCTGATCTTTTTTTAATTCCTTATTTTTAAAATAGAGTATTAGGGCCCTCTTCAATTCATTTTAATGTTGGTTTCTCAAATAACTATATTTTTATTTATCTATTTTAAACAATTTAACCCTATCCCCAAACTTCCCCTTCAAGAACTCAGCCTGGTAAAACAAGTACTGAGTTGAGGGCTGGTAGGTACTATGTTCCTATTACCTGGTGTTCAGGTAACAAGGAGACAGCTCAGCAGAGTGACATAGGACCAGATGGCCTGAGTCCAGGTTCGGACCCCACCACATGCCAGCTGTGACTTAACCCTTGTCAGGCCTCCTTTGTTCATCTGTATAACATGGATCGTACAGTGCCTACCTTCTAGAGTGGCCCGAAGGATTAAATATAACAATCCATGTAACCCTTAGGACCTGCCTAGCACACCACACAGTAATCCAAACAGGCTAGGACTATGGCAGAGTGATGATATCATTGATGCCACATCCCACACCAACAGCAGACATGCTACAAATACTTTCATGGGTTATGTTCACCAGGCAGCAGCAGTACACGGTGGTGAAAAACACTGGCCCTGGGCAAGCTCATTATTTAGGCCTTAAACCACTCTATTGTGGGCTTGGTTTCCTCCTGCATAAATAAAAAGATTAGTGGTTTACCTTCTTTAAAAAAAAAAAAAAACTTTAAAATATTACAAAAGAAATACATGCTTAAAAATTTTCAGGAAATACAGATAGAAGAAGATACAGGAAAAGTTGTATCTTGCCTTCTTGACTCTCCTCTCCCCTCCAAAAATTATAGTTTTCAAACTATGCTGTGCAGAGTCCTATGGACCCTGGAAACAGAAGATAGTTTATTTCCAATACAGGCCAAGTGGGCAGGGCCCCAAAGATCCCTCTGCCCCCATCCCCACCTCAAACAAAGCAGCTCTCCTTTTATGCATCTTACATGTTCGATTTCACAACTTTTGAAACAAAGGCTCCACTACTAAAATGAAGCTGGAAAACCACAGGACTAAATTCCTTTAAAGATGATTGCCAGCTCTAAAATTTTATGATTCTAGTCTATTAAACCAAATCCTCGTATTTGTGATTATAATATCAAGTTTCTATAAAATTTCCTGAGACTTCCCCTTACCTCCAGCTCAAGATCCTGAGGTTCCATTTCAGAAAGTGATAGCACAGCAATTTTGGTAATTTTACAGACCTCATGGTCTCCTGGAAGTTTGCCCACCAATGCTTTCTGCCGAATTAAAATAAGCCACCATGGAAGATCTGAAAGAGAAAAGTCAAAGTAATGCCTGGTATCTATAAAGTGATACATAGAGTCCTGGCACGCTGAAGGTAGATGATCTAACAACAACAAAATATGCATTAGACATAACCTTTTGAAGTAAAGCATGTGACAAAGATATAAAGATGGCCTTAAATACTGAAAAAGATGTTCTATCTCACTTATAATTAGAGAAATGCAAATTAAAATGTAGTGATACCATTCCCACCCCATTAGACTGGGGAACATAAAGTATGACAACACACTGACTGGCAAATCTGTGGGGAAACAGGCACTCTTGTTTAGGGCTTGTGGGAATACAAATGCATACAAGTTCTCTGGAGAGAAATTTAGTGATACCTAATGATAAAACATAAGCACTTACCTTTTAACCTAGCAATCCTACTCTTGTGAATTCACCCTGAAGATACCCAGCAACATAAAAGTATATACACTTAAGTCTACTTACTGCAACATTTTGTAATTGCAAAATACTGCAAACAACTTGACTGCCCAGACATAGGAAAATGGTTGAATAAACTTTTGCACATCTACTTGGTGGAGTACTATGCAGCTATAAAAAAGAACTAGAAGTGTTCTATGAACTGAAAGGAGTGATTCCTGGATTTATTTAAGTGGATAAGCTGGTTATACTATCAATATAACATAATAAGGATCAAATATGGATATATAAGGACATATAATAAGATACATTAAATCAAAATACAAAAGAATATCTAGGGTATGCCATCCTTTATGTAAGAAAGAAGATATGAAAAGACATGCATATATCTGCTCATTTGTACAAAAAAACAAGAGGGCAGATAAATTAGAAATGAGATCAGCTACCTACAGAAGGTAGGCAGAAATGGGATAGAAGAATGGGGAAGAGGGAATGATAAAAGGGATCAGAAGAAATGCCAGTTCTCTGAGTACACCCTTTTGTATAGTGGTGTCTCTTAGAACCATGGTATGATTTCACATCTTGTCAAAAATAAAGAAATTAGTCAAATCAACCACAAAGGCAGAGAATCCAACTCTGCTACAAACACTGTAGGAAACAGGATGGGATCGGGGGAACTCACCCCAATAACTTTATTTAGAAACACTATTTTGTAGGGGCAAAGACAAAAAGAATTATATACAATATTATACTCCAGTTAGTGAATTTGTTTTTCAGGAGGGCAGGGGTTAGTAATTCCAGATTACTTTATGTGTACACTAGGACTGAGCAAATAAATACATTGAGGAGAAAGGGAAGGGGGTGTGGAGATGGTAAACAAATGAAAGAAATCTTTAATAAATACAGGAGAAAAGGAAAAAAAACATCCAGAGGCCCAAAAGTTATGTTTCCAATCCAAATTTTTACTTCTCATGAAATATTTTTAACTAAATGAGAAATAGTCTAAGAAAGGCAACATGTAAAAGCAATTTTTCAGTTTATAAGGTTATATCCTTAAAAAAATACTACCTAATTAGTACCCAAAATAAAAATAATTGAAATAGTGTTTCAGGATATTATAAGTACAGAAAAATAACATGACGGATATATAATTCCCCATATGAAAAAAATGCTTTTTTAAAAGATATATAGTATTTCAATTTCCTCTATTTTTTCCCCTACATATTAATCAACTCTCATTTTAGAGACAGTGCTTTGAAGATGTTCTTAAGCCATTTTATAAATACAGGAGTTTGGAAGAGTTTTCATAATTGTTCATAAAGTAAGGTGGAAATTTACTCCAAAGTTTCAAGGCTTCTACACGTCATTTCATTATTATCATTAAACATTAACCAAGGACCTACCATGTGCTGGAAGTATGTCAGGCATGGATCAAGGTTGCCAAGCACCCAACATATAATAAACTTAACACATAATAAATAAAGCACATAACACATAAGTACACTGTTGAATATAAGTACTTTTTTTTTTTAATAAAAAGAAATCCTTTCACTAATCATCAGGGAAATGCAAATTAAAACCACAATGAGATATCACCTCACACCAGTAAGGATGGCCAGCATCAAAAAGACTAAGAACAACAAATGCTAGCGACGATGTGGAGAAAAGGGGAACCCTCCTACACTACTGGTGGGAATGTAAGCTAGTTCAACCATTGTGGAAAGCAATATGGAGGTTCCTAAAAACACTAAAAATAGAAATACCATTTGACCCAGGAAGCCCACTGCTTGGAATTTACCCAAAAAATACAACTTCTATAAGAAAAAAACAGATCCTACCATTTGCAACAACATGGATGGAGCTACAGGGTATTACGCTCAGTGAAATAAGCCAGGCAGAGAAAGACAAATGCCAAATGATTTCCCTCATTTGTGGAGTATAACAATGAAGCAAAACTGAAGGAACAAAATGGCAGCCGACTCATAGAGATTCCAAGAATGAACTAGTGGTTACCAAAGGGGAGGGGTGTGGAAGGGCGGGTGGGGAGGGAGGGAGAAGGGGATTGAGGGTATTATGTTTAGTACACGTGGTGTGGGGGCTCATGGGGAGTACAGTGAAGCACAGAGAAGGCACATAATCAATCTGCAGCATCTTGCTGCACTGATGGACAGTGACTGCATTGGGGTATGGGTGAGGACTTGATAATATGGGTAAATGTAGTAACCACATTGTTTTTTCATGTGAAACCTTCATTAAGAGTGTATATCAATCGTACCTTAATAAAAAATTAAAATAAAAAAAAAAAGAAATCCTTACCACAGGTTTCTTAACCTCCAGGAGTAATTTCTATTTCACACTGAACCATTTAGAGCTGGCAGTTGACCAGCCAACAGCAGGACACCCTCTCCCTAAGTTTATGTCTTCTTGTTGCAGTTTACTTTGGATTCATTTTACATTAACATTGGGAACTATGATTATAATAAATTACAGCAATGACAAAAAAATTGATAATGTGCATAATCAAATGTAATAAATGGTCTTTCAAATGAACCATCTAATGGCATAGTACCAAAATATAGTATTAATTTTAAACACAGAGGTTTGAAACACATAAACTTCCTTGGGAAACCAAAAGGTATCCTTTTTTTCCATTAAAAACATTGGTATTGCCAATATTGAAATTCAACTTATGAACTCAAATATATTTTAAAATAAAATACACGTTTTTAGAGTTTAGTGAAATACTCAGAGGAAAAAACCATGAAAAATTGAAGTGCTTCTTTTAAAACAATACAGATTACAGTTCAGTATACCTGGCGAGTAATGATGATTAAATCTGAGGAAATATAATGTAAATGATCTCAAACAACAGATAAACAATTTTATAAACAGCAGCCTTCCCTGTTCTGGAGTCTTCTATGTTCTAGACTTTGAGGTCAGAACTCAAGACTCAAATTCTAACTCTACCACTTATTTGCCATGTACTTCGCAGCACAACATATAACTGCTCTGATTCTGGGTTTCCTTGTCTGTAGAAAAGGATAAAACTGCCTACCTCAGAGAGTAGCTATAAGGATTAAACAATAACTTTTACAATCCATGTTATCATTACTAAGTAATGTTTACCAGCCAGCAAAACATACTGTAAAGCTACTGGAAATGAGACAATGTGCTACTGGTATAGGAACAGACAAAGGAATAGTAGAACAGAGCGAGAAGACAGACACAGACCCATGTAAACATGGGCATCTACTAAATCATGATAAAGTCAGGGAACAGAAGGTGTGTTAACAGATGTGTTAAAATACACACTGAAGCATTTGCAGATAAATATGATATCTGGAATCTGAAATAATCTGAAATAATTGAGCAGCGGGGAGTATAGGGGCCATGGATAAAATTGTTTTTTTATAATTGACTTCTAATCAGATTTACAAAGCATTGATTTAGAATGTTTCAAAAGTCTTTTAATATGTAGTTTCCTGTCTTACAGTTTTCATTCTCACACATTGATAAAAAAGAAAAAACTAAGTGTGTAACTGATATGCAGATAGATATCTATTAGTTATAATCTAAGTAGGTAGGGATAATGAAAATGTTCTGGAATTAAGAGAGTAGTGACGGTTGTACAACCTTGTGATTATACTAAAACCAGTGAATTGTCCATTTATTTTAAAAGGTTGAGTTTTATGGCATGTGAATTACATCTCAATAAAAAAGCTTATAAAGAACAAGAACTTATTAGGAGTCTTACCTAGCAGAGAATAAAAAATTAAAAAGTATATTTTCTGCCAAAGACAGAGATTAATCTAAGCCTATTAATTCTTGAAATGTATCAACATTAGTGAAAAGATGTAAACAGCATCTGGAGAAGTGTATGGAGTAGTGTTCAAAGGAGTAATTATCACAATAGAAAGAAAAGGAGAACTTTGAATTGGACACTGAGATTATTTCCAGGCAAAAAAATCACTGACTCCAGAAAACAAAACAAACAAATGAAAAACTTTATGGGAAATAACAGCAATCTCTATTTTTGTAATTATTTGCCTTAAGTGAAAACACAACAACGCTCAGAAGTCTGGAAAGAACGAGCATGTTAGTTACAGTGTTAAATGATCCAAATATAGTTTTCATAGTCTGAGTTTTAATACAAGAAAAATGCAAATGTACAATATCATTATTGTTTAGCAATCCCATTATCCATCAAGAATAATTCTGTAATAAAAAAATTAAAAGCACCAACCCAAGCTATTGTATTAATTTAATTTATATCACCACCAGAAAGGAACTTGGCTCAAGTAAACCTGCCACACTAAGATCTGGGCATGTGGTATGACCAAAAATTAAAGGTAACGTAGTCTGGCAAGGTCCTTAGCATGAAGATTTTTTTCAACTTTTTAAATATATTAGAATGAGAAAAAGGTCGGTTTTGTAACCCTGGCTCCTCCAGGAAAAGACATACATGGAAATCTGACTTCCTCAACAAGATAAGAAAAATGCTTAGGAAGTGATTATCTTGAAATTATGACCACTAGGGCAAGCTGAAACAATAACCTGGAAAAGATTCAACTGCTTGTCCTATACCACTGACTGACTTGG